AGTTCAAGAGTCCCTACTGACGTTTGTCATTTCTGCTGAAGCAGGGGCAGGAGACAAAGGTGTCTTAATTGTAAAATGTGATCACAGTTGGACGTCTAATTCCCTTGGGTTCTTATCAGAATCCTACTCTGCAATTATAAATTTTAAAATACTTCCACGAAAAAATAGGAGAGTATAATACAATACTTTATTCAGGTGTTACTGAACTGAAAGGTGTAATTTTTCTTTCAATTTATTTCAGTTCAGGCCTTATTTTCACTTTTGTTTAGCACTAAATATATTAGACCCTCACTTATTTAGTATTATAAAATAAACAAAATCTATTTCCTTTACAAAGTGTTGGGTGGATTTGATTTTTGGACTGAACCCAGTGGCACATTTCTATGGCAAGGTTGGGGTACTTAAGTCAACATATTGGCCTGCTATAGCATGAAACATTTTCCCTGTCAAAATATCCAGGATGTTTAATGAATTTACATCTTCATAATCAGTAGTAAGCTGTTTACACACCCTAGATCTATATCTTCATGCTTCAGCAGACCAGGAGAAAAGAACAGTGGATTTCCTGCCCATAGAGCGTTGTTTTATTCTGTGCCAGTACTCATAATGAATATAAACTCATCTGTACATAGAGAAGGCAAACGATATCTTGTTTACGTGACCAGTTAGCTGTATTAAGTAAATACACACTGGTCTTACTTAAGCAATTAAACAAGCCACCCAACAAATGAGGTTTTCAGCAACTAACGCGCATACACCTTTAGCGAGGGACTACATGTGATGGTCAGAAGTAGCGATGGTCAGAAGTAGCAGAGCTTGCTGCGCTTCTCAGTGACATCCACCTCTGCACGAGGAAATAGCAGAATACCAGGATCTCGTGTTCCTTTAAAATATTTGGAGAGAGTTTCTTGTTTCCCAATGGGTATACTAGAGCAAGGGACTACTGACAAAGGGAGAAGTTTTCTGAGTGGGCAATTAGTGCTTTTGATACTCGTTTGGTGAAGGTGAGGAAGATGTGTGTGCCTAGGATGACTAGGTGTGTCAGTGGGGGCAAGGCTGTTTTTTCTTCTGCTCTGTCTCTTTTACTGGAGTTGTTGCTAAGGAGAGTGCTTATATCAAACACTTTTTTTCTTCTACAACAGTTTTTAGTTTTCACTCATTATAACTCTTTGTGACTAGAACAATGCACGTCAAAATTGAATATGTAACTTCACTAAGCATTTAGCATTGCACAGTATTATATAGCTGTTGTGAAGGTTGTATTTGAAGGTGTTCTTCAAAAGGTGTTGCTCAGATATTTTTCTCAAAACTTTACATATTCTGGAGTTCTTATGATTGCTACTGCTCAGACTGAAATTTTTGATCTCTAGGGGGTAGTGACATTCAAATGATGTTCCAGTGTTCAGCTTATCCAACCATACAGCCTCTATATGGTACAGAAGAAATTCAGGTCGCTCTGTTAGGTGTGTGTGTTTCAAAATTATGAAATTTTGAAAGTTATTAGGCTATGAGATTTTACTGATTTCCGGGGAATCATATCTGTGGATGACAGTATCACAACAACCAGAAGGGTTTAAGTAAAACTGCTCATTAGTTACATGAGTGGTTACTGCAAGTGTTTCTTGTAGATTAAAAAAAAAAAAGTCATTTGAGGACTTCTGAGCTTCCCAGATGGTACTGTGAAAAGCGCCTACCTATGTAGGTAGGGATGAGCAAGCTATTCTCTTCAGTTGTGTGAGGGGAAAGAAGCAAGTTTTGAAGCATTTTAATAACAGAAACTTAAGCAGCTGTCTTTATTGTTAATGTATTAATTAATCCACTAAGGAATCCACTAAGGGATCACAGTTTTGGTATTGCCTGTCGCTAAAACAAAGCACTTTTGTTTGCAGGAGGGAATGTTCAGGGACACGTTCAAACCATTTTTGTTTCTTTCCTGCATTTTTGTCTGTTTTTCTCGGTTTTAATGCTGTGTGGAACCCAGAAGCTTATCTTGACATCTCAGTGTCAAATAACATGGAAATTTATTTAGAATAGATCTGTAGCGTTCATATAGATCAGCTCATTTTATAGCAGGTGATTGGAAATTAATTACAACGGCCAAAGGTCTGGCTGACAAATGTTCTTCCGACTCTTATTTTGATCTTGCACCAAAAATCTATATCAATGGATGGGTCACTGAAAGTACCTCTTGTAACAGTAAATCCAATATATGTGTTATTTGACCCATAATTCTGACAATGGACGTAATCTCTCCAATTTTACCTTTTCTTCTTTGTTTCTTGCATAGAAGTAGGGAGAAAATTTGAGATATTTAATGTAAAATTTCAAATGCCATATAAAATAGGGATATCATATATACTATAAATACTATAATTACAACCTGAAAGTAGATCATATAACATGAGGCCAGCAAAGGCAAGCATTGAGAAGTTAAGAAGGGGCAATGTTAAGGCTATTAATGAAACCAAAATTCATCTGCCTTCTGTGTTCAAATTATAACTGCACTACTGTTGAGAGCTTCTACCTCCTCACAAGCATGATTAACCTGAGATAGCTGGGATGCAGGTAAAGCCGCATTATCCCTCAGATCTGTAAAGTCCGTGCTTGCCATGTGAACTGAGAAAATGAATGAAGAGTTGGATTGGCTGGAGAAGAGAATATTTATTGTGGTGTGGAAAGTAACGTACAGCAATGACAGCCTGCAACTAACGTAAACGAAGTTGGCATTAACTTAAGCAGAGGATCCGGCACACCCTTTCCACCTAGCTCTGTAGAGGTTTAGTTGCTATCCCTGGCTTGTTCTGCTCATGCTTTTCTCACCTTTCTCTGATAGCCTCAACCGTTCTTCCCTTCCATCAATCTACAGGTGACTCATGAGGGTTTTGCTTTCCAGCCCTACCCAGGGATTCACACTCACTCTCCACCCTTTCTTCAATGGCCTGTTAACCTCCCCCTAACAAACACGTGCGCTACCACTCGGGAAGAGAATGGTGGACACGCTCTGGCCATAGGCTCCTTTCCCTGGTTCTTGGAAAAGATGACACAGTCTGGTTTCTGTTCAGTATTGCGTGTCACACCATTTGAGGAATCTCAGCGAGGTTTCTCCACAGAAAACAAAGCTGCACACAGCCTCATGGTGAAAAACATGTGAAGAGAGAGTTAAACTCTTACAGTGAATGGCAGATGAAGTCTGTGTTGTGAATACAGTTGTCATTGCTTTTTAGTTTGGTACAGTAGCTTTAGAAATGGTTATACAAGGTACTATGGAATGTGGAAGAAAACTGTGGCTTTGGAGATTCTATCATCTAAATGGAAAACAAGCGACAGCTAGGAGTAGTGACGGTTAGAAGAAATGAAGTAACTTGCCTCATTTGTCAGTGACGTTAGTCACAGTTCCTTAATTACAGAGTGACACCTTAAGTGCACAGTTGTGCTGTCTTCTCTTTTCTTAATTCTGTTTTAAAGGATTTGGAAGAGGAGAATGTAAACTGGTATCTTGACCTGTTGGCAGGCAAGGAAGGGCAGAGCTCTTGCTCTGCTCACCTTAACTAAGAGGAATGAAAAATGCAGGAAAACTAAATTGAACTCATTTCTAACACCTTGGCAACAATGGCTTCTGTGCATTTCAAATGGAATTAATGAAATCTGGTCATTCGTGTTGTGGTTTTCAAATGTAATAGCTCTTCTTAAGTGCACAGCTTGCTTGACTTCTACGTGGTCAGTGTATAACCCAGGTCAGCTCAACACCTTCTTTCTCATTGTGATTCTTGCTTCTAGGCTTTAGCTATGTAAGCACTCAGCTGTACTGGCTGAATAATTTTTTTAATGTAATTGCCATCCTTTAATAATATCCGGAAAATCTTTTAATAGCTTTGCTGCCAGAAAGCTGCCATGCCTTGTCGTATCTCAGTATTTTTGATTGTTGTGTGCTATTTTTTTTAAGTTGAGAAAATGTAAATATATATGTGGTGAATCACTTTTACCAGGTTTAATGTCCTTAGATTCATTAATTCAGATGAAGGTGGAATATTTTCATTGTACATGCTACCTGAAAACTCAGCTGGTACACTTTTCAACTTCAGTATTGTTTGGTTCTCACAGTGTTAGGATGGTGTTTATAGCTGTCATTTGGTTTGTCTGGATGGATTTCAGTTTTGTTTTCTTCTTCTGCATAGTGCTGAGTATGCCTTTCTGGACTAATATCGCTCCCGATGCTTTGTTATCTGTTCGGCAGTTACTGTCCTATATGTTATTGTGCTTTTGCCTTGCCTGTACAGCTTTTCTTCATTTCATAAATTGCTTATTCTGTGGGATACTAATAACATACATGAGTCAAATCTGGCCTTTGAATCCTTGGTGGGAGATTTAGGTATAGTGCATTTTTCCCTTCGTTTTTCTTCTCCACAAGCTTGGCATAATTATTTCTCCTGCCCCAGTAATTGCATGTAGCCCTTCATTCTAATGATTCTTTTTTCCAAAGCACTCTCAAGTTTTCATTTGCATTTCTTTGCCTACTTCAGAATCTGCTGTTGAACACATTTTGGTGTATTTTTCCTTGTATTGTGATGCTTTCCCAGTGATGCTCGATGAGTCATTTCTGCATCTGTTTCGCAAAAACTGTTCAGATTTGAGTATGCTCATTAGTGCTGCACATACCCTCAATGCTTGACAAACTAAGTTTATGCCCATATTGGTAGGGAGGTAACTTTCAGTTCTGTCTGAAGACTGTATGAGGGGACCAGGCTCTAAGTTTAACTCCTGTCTGCAGTGCTGACTAATTTTAGAGGCTCAGCTGAACTTCTGCCTAAGAAGTCAAGCTTGTCATCCCTTATCTCCTTGTCTGCCCTGTTCTTCAGATTAACAAAGTTACCTGGCATCCACCCTGAGCAGACAAACAACAATGCAACAATTCAGTTTTCAGTTCATGGATCTTCTGCTCCCTCTAAAATCTATCATCAATAGAGAGTACGAGACAAATCTAGAAGTTGAAAAAATCTTACGCAGACTAACTCCTGGAATAGCCAAATTTGCAAATAAAAGCTCAACATAGTTTTGTTGTGGGCTACTAAGTGTGCAGCAGAGTCCATCTGTTTTGGGACATCTGATGCTAACGGTCAGTGCAGATGACCACAGCGGTTCATCTTGCTGCGCTCCTCTGTGACATCCTGTTCTACTCTTATTAGTCCAGATAAGGTTCCCAAGAAGTTCAAACCCACCTAAAGCAGAGCTGCTGCTGTCTCCTTTTCCCCTGCACTGGCTACACTCACTCCCTTGATCCAGTCTTGGCACTCTTATGATCCCCACAGTGAACCAGGTCAGTGAACCTGGCTCCAAAATTTCATTGCCCTTTTGTGCAAGATTGTCCATCATGAGTTTAATTATTTTCTAAAGTTTTGACAATAACAGGAATCAATAATTTTTCTGTGGTTTATGATCTATTGTTTCTCCAAATTCTTGGGTACAGGAACTGAAGACACACCTTTTATAGATAACATATTTGTGGCTTGAAATTTTTTGGAGGGAGCTTGTAGGACTTCATACAAGCTCTCCTTGTCTTCTTGCAGCACATCTAGATGCTGCAGGAGCACCTGTAAGCCTTTTCCCCTTCCTACTAATTCTGTTTCAGTCTTTCTTTTTCTTACCCATTCCTATTTCAATTTCAGGGCTCCTCTTAAATATTTAAAAATCACCATGAGATTGTCAAATGCATTTCTGTCTGCTCAGGGACAGGGAATTAGTGTAATGCCTTTTTCTATATATAGTCATGTTTCATCAAATGATTCCTAAAAGCAGGATTTTCTGAATCCCTGGGCATTGGTCTGCACATAAGACATCACAAGGGCTGCCACATCCATGGAGGAGAGGGACTGGAGCTGTGTAGCTGTGGCTGTATTACTCTGTTACAAAGCTCTCGGTATGTTATCTATCAAAACACTAGTAAGGACTAGCATTCAAAACACAGTTCAGCCTGGTGGTGAGTACAGCACCTGCTCTCCGAGTACGTTCTGCAGCCAGCAAACAGGGTAACAGAGGCAAAGAATGGATGTGAATTTGTGTTATTTCTCTTGCCTCAGTCTAATCAGACAAAGAATCTAGGCAGGAATAGGGGTAAGCAAGATTCTGCTTTCCACAAGATGCAACATCATCCTTTATTTTAAGACCAAGCAAGGATTATTGCACAGCAAAGTGCTGCCTGCCACTGCTGGGGTAGGTAAAGCCTAAAAAATAAACCCACTTGCAACTCATTCAGATTACTTAGGAAACAAAAGCTGGGCATTTCTGCTTATGTCTGAGCATGATTGTGGATGCGACATAATTCATGGCAAAAACGTTGATGTTTCTCTGACCGCACTGCTTGGCTGCTTCTAGTTGCAGCAGAAGGTTTCAGAGTAATAGAGCTACATTCACTGTTATTCTGTTACTGCTGAGGTGAGTTTTAATTTTAAGTATTGCTCCTTACAGAACATGCAACGCAACTTGCACTTGGTTTAAACTAATGGCCGTTCTGTATATGGTATTTATGGGCCAGTCAAAGCAGAATGTTGATTGATCTCATGCAGTCAGGCGTTGCTCTGGGAGAGGCTGCAAGTCACCCATTCTATTTATTATTTGCACACATAACCTTTTGGTGTATGCACGTATATGCATGCTGCTCTGCTAGTTTACCATAATTAATACATACTAGCAGCTGAAGGAGATGATCCTGATAGCTGTAAGGCGGTTTGTTTCTTCACTTCTAGTTTCAAATTCCCAGAAAGAATTTGAAATGGACCAGGCTTCACTTCTCGTTTCTGTGGCACACATCTGTAAAGAAGGGAGTTTGCAACTTTAGCAATTTTATTTCATCCAAACTCAACTATATTTTAAGACCACATTCAATAGTGTTGCTGACTGATCTGTAGAAACATTGCAAAGAATAGTAAAAACTATTCTTGCAACTTTTCTGAACATAATGAGCAAGATTCTGATCTCATTTACATTCATGTATGTGATAGCCAAAGCTATTGAGGTACCGAGTACCCTGCTTACAGATAAGAAGCTTGAGAATCAGATTAAATGCAGATAGTGTGGTAATAAAGGGGCTTAGTGAAGACAGGAGGTTACACAATGCTGAAGAGGTGGTCTGAGATCCTGAAGGTCATCATGCAAATGCCTGCCCATCACAGACTCTTTATGAAACTCATGTCACTGCATATAGAATCTCTTCAAATTTGTGGGTTAAGGTGTGAACGGTTTGGATCCTATGTAGGAAGGGTAGACTTTAATATGAAAACCAATCCCTTGGAATAAAAATCTTGCTGCCATCTCATTGCTGAGCTTGTTGGTTCTCTGTCAGGAAACAGCAGGCAGTGGTGTGAAGGGCTACACACTGCTGTGAATTTTCTCCACCACTCTATTTTTTTCTTTGCTGACATGTTTCCATGCACCTCAGCTGTATACTCTACAGCAGCCCTTACTCTGGTGCCTAACTCTTTAATCCCACTGTTACCCACAGACAGCAAACAGCCTCCTCTGCAACTCCAAGCTGGTTGTACTCATCTAAATGTCCTACCAAATGGCCTTCCAACTTCCTTTTAAACTCCACCTGTGCTCCCTGCAGCACCACTACTTGTACTCCAATATTCACACTGTCTATTGCTTTGTCAACCCCTCTACACAAGAGCATCTCATGCTTTCTGACCCTTCATGGAAATAAGATCGTTGGACATATGCTTGCCGTGTATTCCTGAAGCAGTGTCTCTTTTCAATCACTGTTTCTGGCTGCCCTTCTGAAAAGGGGAAGTGGAGAGGGATATAAAAGAAGAGGAAATATTGGTAAAGGAATTGGATAAGTAGAAGTATGGCTGTGTTCCATATAAAGACATGTCTTCCAGCTCTGATAACAATTCCCAGTTGCAGCTTACTGTAGCTGAAGTAACTACTCAAACCTTTTAACTCTATTCTTTTGATAGCATCTAAGTCATGAGTAAACATCAAAGTAGCTTATTAAACAGCATTGCACATAGAAGTGCTTGAGATCTCCGACCATAATGAAAAAAGGACACATATCTTTACATTACATGTTTCTTAGGGTATCCCATACCTATACTATCCTGAGATAGTGTAGCTCATTGTTTATGTAGAACATAATATTTAAATTCATATTCCCAGTGCTTAGGACTAAGATGAAGTGCTTTAAACAACCTGTCAAGCTCTCCCAACCCATCTGTTGCTGGGGTAGGTAAAGCAGTTGAACTTTTTCAAAGCACTTGCCACTCATTTGAAGTACTTAGGAAACAAAAGCTGGGTATTTCTGCTTATGTCTGAGTATGAATGTGGATAGGACACAATTCACAGTAAGAATCTTGATGTATATTGCAAGAAAAGTTACTAGAAAAGATATAAAAATAAATTGGCTCTAAGTCAGAATCAAAATAGTGGTGTGATAGTCAATAGGAATCTGGTGGGGCTATGGTCTCTTACAGAAGTGGCTATGGCAGTCTGCTGAGAGTCAGGAGGCCTTGGATTTATTTTTGACTTTATGATTTCCTTGCAGAATGTGTCTGATTTGCCTTCTATCTTTTGCCTGGCTAAAATAATTTCATTATGAATGTCTCAAGAAGGAACCAACAAATTCTATATTTACACACTAGCCTGATAGGAACTTGATACTCGTTGCTACTGGAGTAAAAACCCTAATTATTGAAAACTGCTAATTAAAAATGCTAACCCTTTTCCCAAGATTTGGTGTGCACAGGGTAGGAATGGGCTCTTCCACCTGCAATGACTTTTTACGTCTTGGCACTAGGAGAAAATTAAAGTATCTTTCACATAGTCCTAATCTGAGCAAACGAACTAGTCCTCTCTTGTTCCACTCACGGAAGCAGTGTTTCGCCTTCTGCTTTGACTGTAACAAGTAACACTCAGATGAAGCCAAACATCTGCTTTGCTATGTCCTTCCATACATGGAGGCATATGCAAGGCCTTATGTCTGTCCTTTGTGGTTGATAGGTCAGTACCACAGCAGCCCTGAGTTTGGTACAGTGGTTCCATGACATTTCAAATTATAATTTCAAAGTAATGTTTAATGTTGCAAGCCACAAACTTGGCCAACTCAAGGACTCTCTAGGAACATTTTATACATTTGAGAGAGAAATTAACTTATTTTCTGTTGCCTTTCAAGTTGATAAGGAGTTTTTCCATTGTGTGCAGTTTGAACACAATCATGTCAGCTGTGAGGGAACCCTTCGGGACCTTTGCATGTAATAAAACATATTGTTGGATTAACATCACACACACCTTTAATTGTGAAGGCTAAGGTAGTGTCAACCACAGAGCATCCTGTACATATACCCTGGGCAATCCAGTGGTTTTTTCCATTTTGTGCTACTTTTGCTCCTTAAGAGAAGCAACATCCTGTATATATCAAGACCAAAGACAAGTAGGATGTTGGGAAAGAATTTCCAGTTTGACCACTCATGAAAGAACCAAATGAGCTCATTCTGTACGTCAGAGACGTTAGCTGTACCCAAGAAACCATCTGGCTCTACAATATTTGCCAGAGTATTTGTGGATCAAAACCATATGAAAGTTCTGAAGGGAGCAAAACCTTTGGTATGTTACATTTTGAAACCAAGGAGAATAGAACAGTGTAGAATGTCAGGAAACTCTCATGGTTGTTCTTTTGGGCGTACCTGCTAATTAGTCACTATTGTAGCTAACATTTGCTCATAAAGAGAAAGGAATGTAAGTATATTCATGCAGGTAATTTAGACAGTTCTACACTGAAACTTATTTAAACAATCATTTTCCTCACACCTTTTTTATTCAGTGGCCCTTGAATGTAAACATGGGAAAGTTGCTCCTGTGGGCTTACAGCCAGGAAGATTATCTCAGTTGACTTAGTGAAGAACACCTTGGGAAAACAACTGTCTTTGGATATTTATTTAATGCAGTCCAGACATCCAGACAATGAAAGTGATGACAAAGATCTATGCAAATTCATATATTTTTTAAATGATGCTACTTTGCTAAAACATAAGAATTTGCACTTGTATTTTAGCGATTAACATGAGATATCCTCTATTCATCACAGCTGGGTAAGAATTAAATGTATGTAGAATATTATTCACCTCCCACTGAAATCAGTGAAGAGACTTCTATGGAAGCTGCTACAAATTTTATTAATCCTTTAATAATGTATACTTTGATTATGATTGTATCCTTTCACGTGCTGGCTTACTAAGTGGGCAAAGTGCTTCCTATCCCAAGGCAATAAATAATGCAGAGTCGTGCAAGCTGAATGACTGCATATCAACTGACATGAATTATTATCTTGAGCCAGCAGTTACACACTAGTGGAACAGGACCGACTCTAGTTTTGATTT